CAAAAAGAAACATGTAAGGTTGAGTAGATTATCATAAATCTAACCATTTCTAAAGGAGTTTTATTTCTTATTTCTGTAACTCCATTCTGTTGTGGTGTATCCGGCGCTGTCAACTAGGTTGTAATCCCTTGATCAACCAAATACTCTCGGAATGAGCCTGCAAGGTATTTGCCACCTCGATCAGACCTAAGTGTCTAGAGCGGTTTTATTTAAGCTCATTCCCTACTCGTCTTTAAATTATTTGGATTTGTCAAAAGCCTCGAATTTATGACGGATTCAATAAATACTCCCATAGTGAGAGTAGTCATCAGTAAAAGTGATGAAGTACTCATAGCCACCTTTTGTTGTAGTGCTCATTGGTTCATGCATCATAATGTACTAGTTCCAACGCTTCTTCGGTTCTATTACCTTTTGCCTTGAAGGGCCTCTTGGTCATTTTTTCTTCCAAACAAGATTCACAAACTGACAGTTCTCAACTTCCAAGGAACTCAAAGATCCATGAATCCAATTGAGGTTAATGTGACCAAGGCGTAAATGCCAAAGATGCGTTTCATTAATGCTTGAAGAATACTTTCTCTTTTTAGTTAGATATATTAACTTAATAGATTTTGGTTGTAGCATTTGTGAAGTGATAAGATTTAATACATAAAGATTGTCTACTAGCAAGCCACGACATATTATATTGTTGTTTTCTCGAATTAAAACATAATCTAATTCAAAACAAAATGAAACTTTGTCTCTAGCTAGTTTAGGTACTGAAATAAAATTTCTCCTAATAGTTGGTTTATAAAGACAACCTTTCGTCAGGGGCGTACCCATGTATATGCTTGGGGTAGCCCACGCCCCCATAATTTATTATTTAAAAAAAATATATATTTATTCGTTTGTTATTTGTGTATTAGTTAATGCACTCCCCCCAAACTTTCAATTTTGTACACTTTAATCCATAAAAAAAAAAAAAAAAAAAAACTTCTATTAAATCATCCCCATATTTCAGCCCCACAAGAAAAAACCGTAGGTCCGCCCCTGCATTTACTACCAATGTCCTAGCACTACTACAACTTAAAGATAAAGTTTCTATCGATACTGCTGCCACCTTGGTTGATTGCCTTAGTACAACCATACTTCGCCTCTACTGAGCTAGCTGGTTTGTTGAAACCCCTTCATAGGATTGCAGACATGATTAGTAGCTCCCGAATCTACACACCAATCCTTGGAGGATCGGACCACTAAACATGACTCAGTAGTATAAGCATAGTAATTACCTTTCTTGGCTAGGAACTTGGCGCACGCGCTTTTCCTATGCACTTTCTCCCGACAATGAAAGCACTTGCCCTTGGCTTGCTTATCTCCACTAGTCGAAGGTGCATGTCTAGGTACTTGAGTTGCTCTCTTGAATGGTTTCCCACCATTTGATTTCTTAGCTCCACCTCACTTCTTTTTCTTAGCAAAACGCTTTGAAGATGAAGCATTCTCGGCTACTATCGCATTGCTTGTCTTTGTCTTGATTAACCCTTATGTTGCTTGAAACTCTTTTTCGTAATGTCGACAAAGAATAATTCATCTTGTTCGTAGAACAATATCGACTTGGCTTTTGCATCAATTTGGATCCAAGGGTTGTCATCTCGCCCAAAAGACTCATCATTTTAAGCACATAATCCCTAATCGGTGTTCTCTCAATCACGTGCGTGTTCATGAGTGTTATTTTAACCCACTCACCACAACCCTTAACCAAAACTGACTTACAAGTCCAAACTACATAGATTGGAAACACAACCTATTTTTTCTGAACTCTATTTTTTGCCGCCAGTTTCCGGCGTTGACCGCCGGTTTCGGCATTGAATTTTTTATTTTTTTTCCCTAAAAAAAATCCTTTTTTTTACGTCCACCGCTGAACGTTGACCGTAATTGCACTGTCAATAACAATACTTATTCAGTTGCTGATAGTAATTGTACTGTCGTAGACAGTACATTTACATAATTGTACTGTCGTTGATAGTACCATTACTGTTGACCACAACAATATTATTATTTTTTTTTGACTTTTTTTTTTGTATTTTTTTGATTTGTTTGCAAGTCAACGTAATTATATTACTGTCGTTGACGGTAAAATTACTGTAAACATAATAATATTACTGTCAACCCCATCAATATTTTTTTTTTGCCTTTTTGTTTTGTTTGATTTGTTGACCGATTAACGTAATAATATTACTGTCTACTGTTGTAATATTTCTATAGACATAATAATATTATTGTAGTTGACAGTAATATTATTGTCAACCAGATCAAATATTAATTCTTGTGACTTTTTATTATGTTTGCCTTTGTTGAACGATCAACATATTAATATTACTCTATTACACAATAATAATGATTTTTGTTGTGTTAATATTATTGTGCTAGAGATTAATATAACAATATTACTGTGTTAAATTGGAAGTATAGTTAATATTACTGTGTTAAACAACAATATAGTTAATATGACGGTCAAACATAATGGGCAAACATATGTTGAAGAAAAAAAAGAAAAAAGTCAACGACGCCGGAGACCGTCGTTGGCCACCGGTTAGCAGCGATAGGAAAAAAAAAGTCAACGCTGGAGATTGGCGATAAACGACGACGACGAGCGAAATTATACTCAAAATTGAGTTTTTGGTCAAAACTGAATAATTTATGAAATTTGGGGTCAAATTGAGGTTAAATTAAAGGGGTCATTAGCAATAAGGCCCTCATATAACTAATAATTGATGATAGGTCCATCCCTTAAATCTTACTTTGAGATAACTCCCTAGCACTATTTATTCCAATAAAATCTTTCACTTACATAAATAAACATTAATATTATTTGGACTGCATTTATTATTTTTGAATTTTGTTTTTTTTTGTTTAATTATTTTTAATATTTTTTTATTAAAACATTTATATTTTCTTTTCTATGATTTTTTTGATAAGTTTACTACGTCGAGTATGACTACCGTCGAATATGACTACGTGGATAGTTATCTCTAGTCACGTTTCTTCTGTATATTTACCATATTTGTACATTTTCAATCCAAAAAGATAGTAATATCCATATTATCACCAATTATGTATAATAAATGAATATAAAATAACTTCAATCGACAACCACAATACATTCACACATAACCACATGCATTTCTTCAACAAAAACAATCATCAGTATCATTATACATAAAAAAAACCTACAGAGCTTATATATGATTATATATAACAGTATATGTGACTATTTATATGACTACGTAACTATAGGGCATAGTCATAGAATCTTGATCATGTAATATGTCTGCATCAGTTGATGTCAGTGCCATTGTTACTAGTGCCATTGTTACTGATGTTGCTCAAAGCTGAAAACATACAAAAAAAGAGGTAAAATTTAAACAGTTGATACTGCACATGCTAAGTGGGCAAAAAAATGCAAATAGTGTGAAATATGTACACATTATATGACTATATATGACTTTGAGCACAACTGTCTGAAAAAATATAGCATGCGTTGTTGCGCTACTATACGTGACTATTATGGCATTATACAGTCAAAATTTATGACAACCAAATGGTACCTACACCAATAATTTCCCAGATAAATAAAACGAATTCAGAAAAACATAAATCACAGAGTGTTAATGCATACAATCGTGCTCTAGGATCCGAAATAACAAAAAAATCACATAAATCAATAAAATGCAAAATAATTGAAAATCGATATATATATATATATATATATATATATATATATATATATATATATATTCATAACAAACAAATAATAGAACTGAAAATTCAGATTCATAACGAGTTCTATTGTTCGTTCGACAATTAATTCGAGATTTTTTTTACCAATTAATATTGTAGATATTACCAATTAAAATTTACCACGTCGAATATGACTATAGTCTGTATTTCTTCAATAACAGTGACGTCAATGTAATTATACTCATAATTGTGATAGGGGTTCCTCAAATCTCGTCGGCGCTGTTCTATTTGCATCAATCGGGTAAGGGTTGATGACGTGGAGGCGGAGGCAAGAATTTTTGGGTGGTATTGAAGGGGTTGGGATGAGGAAAGGTGAAATCCTAGGCGACGGCTGTGTTGGCGGCTAGGGTTTGCGACGTTAGATGCCCATAATTTTCATCGCCATTCTCTCTTGTGTATCAATCCGGCAAGGGGGTGGTGTGTAGGAGGCAACGACAGGTGATACTAAAGAGGTTTGAAATTGTAACGAGTGTGGCGGCGGAACCCTAGGCGGCGGCTGTGGTCGGTGGCTTGGGTGAGTAGAATACGAGGTGGTGTGAAAAAGAGGAAGAATGAGGGGCACGTCGGCGGTGTAAATCTGGAGGAAGGGGCGCGGTGGTGGCGGCGGTTTATAGATCTGAAGAAGAAAAAGAAAAGAGAAAGATTGTGAGAGAAAGAGAGAGAGAACGAAAGAGAGATATATAAAAAGAGAATCAATCACATGAGATGGTTATGAAAAATAAATATTATTTTTTTTTTTAAAAACTATTGATAAGGGTAGTTTCGTCTAATCACATTCGTTGAGGGATTTTTCACTAATTACGATTGAATTTATGGGTATGTGCAAAAGTCTTGAAAGTCAAATGAGTTTAATTCATAATATTTTTCATTTGAGGGGGAATTGCATATTTCCCCTAAATTGAATTAAATGATGAAATTGAAGCATATTAAAATATGAGGGATATTTTAGTCTTTTACACACCTCTAAATAAATAATGTCTAAATTTTTTGTAAAATAATTTTGTCTAAACCCCTCTAATAAATAAGTAATGTGCCATAAGATTATAATATTATATCATGAGGGCATTTTAAGAAAGAATATGAGAATAGTTTATTTGATCCTACAAGTATTTCAATACTAGTCAATAGTCATAAAACTCGATAAACATTTGATATTAACCTAATTGAGCTCGATTCACATGGTCCGATTGTAACATTTATAAAAAAAAAATGAAAACACAGCGAAACGGAGTCTTGAGCCCGACTCAAGTTTGTGCGTTTAGACACACTGATCTGGCACGACCTCTTTCTCTCTCTATATATATATAATGCGTCTCTCTTTCTCTCTCACACACAATTAGTTCTCTCCTGGCCTGCTTTAATTTTTTTTAATTTCTTCCCCCAAAAGATAAAATAGATTGGAATAATCGCATAGAAATCGAAGAACTTATTCGGGCCCCCGATCGCAAATCAAATCTTTTATTCTCGTCTGATAAATTTTCGAGGTTCTTCTTCGAGGAATTTTTTCATTATTTTCTCTAAATACATAAAACAATTTTAATGGGGGGTTTTTAATACATGATGTATGAACCCTGAATGTGCGTTTATGCTACGGTTTGTTTTGCTTGATTGATTAAATGTTAAATGGCCATTGATTTTTATTTTTGTTCCTTTTTTTTTCTTTGGTTTTGTTGTCAGGGGTTTGATGCCGAACAGCTAATGGTTGATTTTTCAGGAGCCTCTTATGTATTTCTATGACTAGTTGTATATTTTTTCTTTAGATTTTTTTTTCTCGATTTCTATAGGGAGAGTGAACAATTTTGTACCCTGAAGAACAACTCTGGAAACATATGTAACATTTAAATTTTATATTAGTTGTGTTGCTTTTTTATACCCAATCGAATTTTGCATGCGAAAGGGAAGTTAATTCTTCGAGGGAAACACCATTTGATTCAATCGGTACAGTGCCACTGTTATTATGGTTCGAATACGCTATATGAGAGCGTTGTTGTTATGCCGTTTTCCTGAACTTAGTTGTGTATATATTAGTATGTTGAGCTTTATTACATATCTCTCTTGTTTTATTTTTCATGAATATTATTATTATTATCTATCACCCCACCTACCTACTAACGAATATATATATGTATTTTTGACGCATTTCCGTATGTGGAAAATTTGTAGACTGAGATTGGATTGGATGAGTGCGGGTCCTTGATCGTGTGGAATTTATAGGACGGCGTTTCGGTGTGGTTTTAAGTGTTAATGGAGAGCTTAGTGCAGTTGGAAGTGTTGTGTGAGAGACTTTATAACTCGCAAGACTCTGCCGAACGGACACATGCTGAGAACACTCTGAAATGCTTTTCAACGAATGTCGATTATATTTCGCAGTGTCAGTATATTCTGGACAATGCTTTGACCCCTTACGCTTTGATGCTGGCTAGTTCAAGCTTGTTGAAGCAAGTGACGGAGCATAGTCTCTCCTTGCAGCTACGCCTTGATATCCGTAAATATTATTTTACTTAGCAGATCTGTTTTATTATTGGGTGTTTATTTGATTTGACTTGGAAAATTAGTAATATCGTAAACATAATTGCAACGTATCCAATTTAAATAACTTCATCACGTAGGCATTTGGAGCAAGTTCCAACTACAACCTTATCATCATGGAACTTATTAGTGTTTGTTTCTTTGATTTTTATTTTCTGTAAGGCGATCTGAATTTTCTTGGCTTTTACTGTGTGTGAAGGAAATTACCTTATAAACTATCTGGCAAGCAGAGGTCCTGAGCTGCAGCCCTTTGTGATTGGATCTTTAGTTCAGCTTTTATGTCGACTTACCAAGTTTGGATGGTTTGATGATGATAGATTCAGAGAAGTGGCTAAAGAATCTATTAACTTTTTGAATCAGGTAACTATTCTTTGTGTAATGAAATTATATTACGTTGATGTAATCCCTCTACTCTACAGTATAAACTTTTAAATATGCTGCCATCTGTTTTAAGTATATTATGTTGGGTTGTGTGTATTGCATCTGTTTGCAGAAGTGAATGCTTGAACGTCATTTTTTTTGTGTCTAGAACAGACGTGTGTTTTGTTGTCCTGGTTGCACAATCTTGGAGCGGATACATTATTTTGTCCTTATGGACTTTGTGAAGATGATAAAAATATACTTTTATAGTTAAGGATAGTAATTTAGATAGTTAAATATTTTGATATAAAGAATCAGATTTCTGTGATCGAAAATAGTCATTCTTTTATGAGTGAAGTCCGTATGAATAAATTAGGCTTTAAGGAAATCATTTAAGGAATCTTTCACAAATTTCCCGTCTTATATTAATATTAGCAACTAATTGAATGTTTGATTATTAGCACGTGGTAAAAATCCACATGTGATTTGTGAACAATGACAGTTACGTGTCATAGTCTGTAGCTAGATATAGATAAGGGGGCATAGGATACATATGGTAAGCTACAATAATGATTAAAGAGCCTAAATAGGTAGGTTAATAGATAACTTAGTATACTTGGACATCGTTAGAATCTCATATAGGGCCTTTATGGCACTGGCCAGTAATAATAAAATAAGATCCTAATCTCAATACTAGGGGGGGATAGCGAATCGGTAGACGCTACGAACTTAAAAAGGATATGAAATGAATTGAATCTAGAAGTTCCATTTCTTACTTGTTTCGAGTGATTTGCATGGATTTGGATACGCATAAAAGAACCTTTAACAAAAAAAAAAAAGAGTTATGTTTTCTGATTGTTTTATATATGTGGTTTTTGGCTGGACTGAACGTTCTGATGAACTGCATTGAAGTTATCTCGTAAAAATAATCACAATTCTTGCATATTTCCATCTTGATGAAAAAGGCATTTATTTTTCGAGGTCGCAACTGATATTCTTCTTTAATTCATCTGTTAACCAATGAGTAGGGGATTGACAAGTGGTGGTTAAAGTACTATGGGATGTTTGGGGAATTAACTATTGATATAAAGTTAATTTGCCAAGAGCTTGTTCTAGGCTTTATTAGTTGGCATGTTTTTTTTTTCAACGTCTTGCAAAGTGTAATGGATCATTATCAAAACCTCATTATATCAAAACCTCATTAGTTGTCAATGTTGGGTTGTCGGTGTAGACTTACACTGGATTATTGGAAAATAATAGCAACAAAACCTTACCATGCAATATTCGGTATTTGTTTGCTGAGTATTTTGTTTACAGCATTAATCCCCTATTGTCATTGTTATCGTTATTATACCAGATAATCATCATCATTATTTTTCAAAGGTGAATATTATTTGTTTCTGCCAAATGTGACATCCTCTGGTCATTTACAGGTAACCCCCCCAACAAAAACAATAAAACAAACTTCTTGAAACTAAAACCAAAAAGCACACTTACAAACTGACCAGGGAAAATAACATCAATTAAAATGAGCAACTTGTTTCTGCACGTGTCCAGTAATTTATGTCTTTGGGGTGCCTTTTGTATTTGTTGCTGATTTCAATACATGTTTTCAGAATCCAAGACTTTGTTCTGACCATTTTCCACAGCTTTCCAGTTAAAAATTGCACATACGTTATCATTTTTAATAAACTATTGCGTTTTTCCCGTTCGATAGAGATATACTTATCAATAATTTTGCATTTTTTTTTATGCAAATATCTTCCTTTTGCATATGCGATTTTCAACTTGAGCTGTTTTTTGTTTTTGACTATTATTTTATTTAAATACTTGGTTGCTAATGCTTGTCAGCGCTCTGAAGAGACTCTTTTTTTTTTCTTTTTCAGGCAACATCTGGTCACTATGCTATTGGGTTAAAGATATTAAATCAACTTGTTTCTGAGATGAGTCAGGTTTTTTTTTTTAACTCTCTGTCCATGTGTTTTATGACTTTGAAGAAACTCAGGTTCAGAGGGTACTAATATGATACAAAAGTTATCTACAATGATACTGAAGTTTTTCTATTGAGACTTTATGAAATTACTCGTCCTTATTGCCCAACATAGACATAAGTAAATTTTTCTTTCATACTTGGAGATTTGATGAATTGGCCTATTTTCCTCTTCTGCTCAAATTTTTGCTTGTGTGAATCTTATTTCGCTCTTCTTGACCTTTTACTCTCAGCCAAATCCAGGATTGCCTTCATCACATCATAGGAGGGTGGCTTGTTCCTTCAGGGATCAATGCCTTCTCCAAATTTTCCAGATATCTTTGACGTCACTAAATCAACTTAAAAATGATGGTAAGAGTGCTGGCTCATGTTCTGGTTACATTGGAAAGTATATGCTTCAGTTCATTTGTGTTTTGACCGTGAGAGTAATACTAAGTTTTGACATTGCAGCCATCAATAAGTTGCAAGAATTGGCTCTATCGCTGTCATTGAAATGCTTGTCATTTGATTTTGTTGGAACGTCTATTGATGAAAGTTCTGAAGAATTTGGGACTGTTCAGGTAAGTTCTCAACAAACAATAAATATGACTGGCAGTTGTCAGGAAGAAACTGTTCAAAATGACCTTTAGAAGCATGATTCTTGCAGTAATTTGTGTGTATTAGTCTAGATATGTTAGTTTTGCCGCCTGATAAATGTTTTGCTGCGAGTTTAATACTGCTGAACTGAGTTCAATTTTACAGATTCCATCTGCTTGGAAGTCTGTGTTGGAAGATTTTTCATCAGTACAGATATTTTTCGATTATTATGCGCTCACAAAACCCCCTATATCCAAGGAGGTTAGTTCATTTAATAATTTCTTCATTTTATATGTTATAATCTTCAGACAGTTTTCTAGATACTTTTATTTTGGTCTCTGTTTGATGTTCATTGACTGCTTTGTATTGGACAGTGTGTGTCCAAGTTATACTAAAATAATTTTTTCTAGGAAACAAAATGTTCCAAGGGGTTGACTGAACAAAATCTATGTTTACCCCACTAGGCCTGATTAAGGCGTTTCGCGCCTCAAGGAGAAGGATTGATTTTTTCTCTTCCACTTCATTTCGAATAAATTTTACTTAAATATTCCAGTCAACTGAAGATGATTCTTTTGTTTCTTCTTTTCCATTTTTTTGTTGTGTTTGGGCACTGATTTTAGCGTCATTAAACTGAATATTGTATCCCTCATGCTGACTGTAAGCTCCTCTTGTGTCTGGATACTACACGTATGGATGTCTTCGTTCTAGGATGTCTCGTTCTGTGTCCTTACATATTGTCTATTTATTTGTGGGAGGAAAGATATTGTGGGTTTTTTAGTACTAATCAGAAACAGAAGGAAAATAGATAGTAGCTTGGGTTCTTTGAGCTCTATGACATGCAGGAGTTAAGTCTTCCAAATAAAATAAAGCCATAACTAGGCATCAGCTTGTTGTAATTTTCTGTCTGCTTGTTTTAAATTGCATCTTCAGTTAAGTATTTGCTAAAGTTTAACTATGCACCGAAACTGAAAGTTAAGTATTTTCCAAGTATGTTTCTTTGGTCGACTTGAACGTACGCGGGAAACTAGATATGAGGTAAGCATGTCATCTAAAACTAAAAGTGATGGATTGCACAATCTCAGCCCTTTGAAATGGATTAATTATCAGTTGAATTTAGGATAACATAGTCTATCACCCTTTATCACTCAAACTAAACATAGCCTTTGTGGATGATTAGCATTTACATTGCATCTAGATGAGTTTTAGGAATTGTAAGATTCGTCTACCCCTCCGTCTCTTTTATATAGGATGCTTGGTGTCTTTCAATGCATTTTTTTTTAATTTCTGAATTATGTTCTTTTTTGCTTCGGATACTGTGTTCTAAAAGTGATTGATTTCACAATCTTCTATGGGCTCTTCAATTTTTACCACAATTTTTATTATTTTATTTTGTTTATAGTCACTGGAGTGCTTGGTGCGATTGGCTTCTGTAAGACGTTCTCTATTTACCAATGACGCCACACGTTCCAAGTTCTTGGACCATCTAATGTCAGGAACCAAAGAAATTTTAAGAACAGGGCAAGGTATATACATTTACGACATTATATACAGATTGGGCTCTACTGACATGCCAATTCCATCTAATCTCTTGGTGCATTAAGTTAAATCTAATAAGTATGATTTTCATTGTTACAGTTGTGCTGCCTCTACAATTCAGTTTATGTTGCTGCACTTCTTTATAGTTTTATTACTCTTTTTCTAGTTTTCTAAATGTGCCTGAAGCAGCTTGTGTGTTGTAAAATGATTGGGTTGGATACGTGTACTCATTGATTTTCCTGTCTCCATCTTTTGGCTTGTCTGAATTTCTTGTTGTGTGTATCTCAGATATATTAGCATTCTAAGTTGTAGAAAAAGGAATCTTACTAAACAATTTAGGCATAATTTGAAGAGTTTATAGAAAGGTTGTCTTATGAGACGAGTTGTAAAGTACGAGAGCATCATAGTGGTTTCAAGTGTGGAAACTATACTACGGTTTAACTGCTAATGCTTGTTCCTTCTCTTTGCTTGTTATAATTTTTCCTTTTTCTTTCCTTGAAGACCAAAGAGTCCCTTTGAAACATTCCACAAATCTAATTGGACGAAGTGTACTCCCTAGTAAAATGTTAAAGTTTTGATTAAGCCCCAGTGATAGATCCTAAGCTATCCCAGCACATTTTCACTGAAGCAAATTCAAGCTCGAGGGGGACTTTCTCAAAGACCAAAACTCATTTAGTTGCTGCTTAGTAAGCGTAAATCTAATCGCCCAAAGATTTATGGCTATTCATGTGAACTGATATTTACTGCAAGAATAGTAGGGAGGGAGAGAGAGTTCCAGATATTTTATTAAAATGGTAATTGTTGTAGCAGGGAGGGGGGCCATTGATTGATTGATATTCATTCTTGTATTTGTTTTTGTTGGTGATAGAAACATTTAATGATTCACCTCACTTACAGCTTAAGCTTTTGGTTGAGGTGGTTATAAACATTCATTTGGCCTGATACCATGCTAAATGACCACCTGAACCAAAAGCTTAAACTGTAAGTGAGGCAAATCATTTAATATTTATATCTCCAACAGTTTCTTAGAACTTTCACTAATTTGCAAAATCATGTGGGTACTAGTTCTATGCGACACTATTAATTACCATTCGTGTTCCTCTCCTGGTGCCTTGCTATGGCTTTTCTTTCTTCATGAAGTGCTTTTACCTTTTCATCATACCTAGTCATTTTATATGTTAACAATTTGCTGATCTGGAATTAGGTCTTGCTGACCATGATAACTACCATGAGTTCTGTCGCCTACTTGGACGATTCAGAGTCAATTATCAGGTATTTCATTGATATATTTGTGATGTTTTAGACTTTGGTTAATGCTATTTCGTGTTTGGTCATCACTGTATTCGACACAACAGATGCAACTACATTGCACATGTTCTCAAATTTTGGTTTTCTTTCTTTCTTTCTTTTTTTGGTGGTTTCACTCTGGTGTAGGGTGGATTATTGTTTCTACTAGCACTAATTCTCTGATCAGAATAGTTTGAATGCTATGTGTTAGATACTATTTAGCTAATATTTAGTAGCTTGTGTGTGTTTTTAGTTAGCATATCTGTGTTGTCTTTTGAATATTTTTTCCTTTCCGTAACTAAATGATTGATGTTCTGCTGCAGTTATCTGAACTTGTGACCATGGAAGGTTATGGTGATTGGATACGTTTAGTTGCTGAGTTCACGTCAAAATCTTTGTTGTCCTGGCAGGTAAGTGGTTAGAAAATATCGTAAAAATGTTATAATTCTTTGCATATGATCTAGCTTGAGATAAAACTTGTGTGGTCCTATTTCTCGGTGTGTCATTGCCCTTAGGTTAGTGGTAGAATGTTAAGTACCAAAAATTTAACAGCCTTGTGAATTTTGCAGTGGGCCAGCAGCAGTGTGTATTATCTTTTAGGGCTCTGGTCTAGATTGGTGAGTTCTGTACCCTATCTAAAGGGTGATGCACCAAGTTTGCTTGATGAATTCGTGCCTAAAATCACTGAAGGTTTCATCACTTCAAGATTGGATTCTGCTCAGGTCTGCTTCTTAAGAATAAGTCTTTCATGACCAAAAAATATATAGTTCTGAAAACTCTTTTCTTGTTATTGCAGTCTGGCCTACCTGATGATATATCCGAGCATCCACTTGACAATGTCGACCTTCTTCAAGACCAGCTGGATTGTTTTCCACATCTTTGCAGATTTCAGGTTAAGTCGTCAGTACTTATTTAATTCTTTAGTCAATTTTATTTCCTTTTGACTTAACTTGTATAAGTTTCTTGTTTCAGTATGAAAACAGTAGCATGTTCATTATCAATATCATGGAGCCTATTCTTCAAATTTACATGGTATGCTGAAATTTTGTTCAAGATATACTCTATTTCTTTCTGTTGTACTTTCCATGAGCTCGTGGGCCTTTGTGTGAAAGATAAAACCTTCCTTTTCTTCTAATAGGAAAAAGCACAGCTTCAGACTGGTGATAATAGTGAACTTTCAGTAGTTGAAGCCAAGCTTGCTTGGATAGTACATATAATTGCGGCTATTTTAAAAACGAAGCAATCAGTTGGCTGCAGGTACTAATTTTTTGTTTTTTCCTCATATCCTTCCGAATTTCATACCCTCTTTCAGCAATTTGATTTCTTGGGAACGTTTCTTAACTATGTTGAGCTGTGTGCTCACAGTGCTGAATCACAAGAAGTAATTGATGCCGAACTTTCAGCTCGTGTTCTGCGACTAGTAAATGCTGCTGATAGCGGTTTACACAGTCAGGTAAGTATAAAGAAATGAATAGTAGTATTGTCTCGTTGTTCTGAAAATTTTGGGATAAAGAAGATCTTTATTTTAGAAAACTGAAATAGTGGGCACAAGAAGAATAATTTTGGAATATGTAGATGCAATCTCAGAATCGATAAAAAACATTGCCCAATAAGACGTTATTGAAATATAAGAAGATTGTTGCAATACAAGATTCTGATACTATGATAGAGAAATGATCATAGAGCTCATGTTGCTACTTATCAATAAAAAAGTTCTCTAGTTTATAGTTATTAATATTCTCATAGAAATGTAAAAGATGAGATTGTATTGAATTAAAAGCATTGTTCTTTACTTGATGTCATTGGAGGACCGGGAGCATGAATCACTATGTCTTTTGCAACTTAAAAGATATTTATGTTTAGAAATACTTGGGCTTCTTTGGGCTAATTGGTTTTGCAATAGAACCTGTGTTACATAGATACGGCTAAAGGGAAAAGTTTCCCCGTGTCAGATACGTTTCTGACACGAAACGCGATGATACGCGTATTATACGCTGGTGGGGCGTATCTGTAATATTTAAATAGTTGGACACGGGTATCTATAATTGACACACGTGTCAAAGAAGTAAAAAAAGGCTTTTTCTGAAAGAGCCCAAACCTATTCTACTTCTGCCATTTTTATTTTCCACGTTGTGCCTAGTGCAGTATTATTCTTTTCTCTTTCCAACTATATTATGATTTTAATATTGTAAAAAAGCAAAAGAACTTTTTTAATAATTTACAAATAGACCCCTTTATTTTTAATATTTACACGTATCCCCCACGTTCCCGTGTCCTACTTTTTTTGATTAAAGGTTTCCCCGTGTCCGTGTCTGTGTGTCGCCGTGTCCCCGTTCCCGTGTCTATGTAACATAGAATAGAACCCATCTGATTGTAGAATGATACTGAAGCATACTTCATACCTTTGCATTTGGCAGAGATACGGTGAATTAAGCAAGCAAAGACTTGATCGAGCAATTCTTACATTTTTCCAGAACTTCAGAAAGTCTTATGTGGGTGACCAGGCTATGCATTCATCAAAGGTAACATTAGTAGTATCATTTTCTCCGATGATGATTCTTATTTTTTCTCCTTTGAGGTAAGTGTGGGAGGTTCTCTGTTTTGTTGCAGCAGTTGTATGCCCGGTTGTCTGACCTGATTGGACTAAATGATCATCTGTTGCTGTTGAACTTTTTTGTCCAAAAAATTGCTACAAATCTCAAGTGTTATACAGAGGTAACTGTTACGATGGATCTACTCATTGATTTTGTTTCTGAATTTCTTGTTCTGCAACTCAAATTTTCCTTTTTACAGAGCGAGGAAGTTATCGACCAAACCTTAAGTCTATTTTTGGAGCTGTCATCTGGGTTTGTTTGCTTGCTCAATATATTTCAAAATATATGATTTCTTTAGTCTTCTCCAGTGTATATTTTCAGTAAGCCATTTTTTTTCTTGCAGTTATATGACTGGAAAGCTACTTCTTAAGTTGGATACTATCAAGTTCATAGTTGCCAATCACACTGTAAGTCATCTACTATTGGTTTTATGTCAGTTTCATTGACTTATCAGCTGTGAATCTCTTTTATCATGCCTTCTATTCTTTGCATCCTTACTTTCAAAGTAATCTTTGGATTTCTGAATACAGAGGGAGCATTTTCCATTTCTTGAAGAGTATCGATGCTCTCGAAGCAGAACAACATTCTATTACACCATTGCCTGGTTAATATTCCTGGAGGACAGTGCAGCCCTCTTTAAATCTGCAATGGATCCTCTGCTGCAAGTATACTTCTTGGATTCTCCCTCCTTTTCAATCTCTCTTCTCCCTCTACATTAACATCCTCATATGCACATCTACATTTTTGTTTCCATTCTCATCTGAAAAATATTTTACTTTTTTCGACTGGAAAACTAGTACTATGTTAGACTATAAGTTATGATAAGTTCAGCTAATATTTTTCGTTGGAAGATGACGATATGGAAGTGTATTTGGATAAAAAATGCCATTGCGAAAACTCAGTTTGAAATATGTTTGGGTGATCTACATATCTATAGAGAAAGAAGTTCGTTTAGAGGACGTGTCTTCACCGTATTTTTCTGTCAAAGGGCAGGAAGTGAGCCTCAAACAAGAATATATACCATGCTGAAGTTATATTGTATTACATTTTGTGGGTCCTTGATGTACGGAAATTATTTTGCAATTTTGTTTTTGCTAGAGATGATTTTTTCTTCTAATTTGCGGTTACTGTAAGGGAATTCTTTTACAAAAAACTTTGCTAATAAAATGATATAAAATGGTGGTATGCTATTCCGAAACCTTCCCTAGTTCTTGGCTTTTAATTAATAGAAGCAAAAGATGAAAAGAAACAGACTTGTTATGTGGTATTAACTGATCTTACCTCACAGTTAGATGGGCCAGTCTTATTTTTGTAATAGAGTAAATGAAGGAATCCCTAATATCTCGACAGAAGGAGAAATTAATAGAAAAGAAGGGGAGGTCACAAACTCCAGATATTTAGAGAGTTCTTGTAGTCAAGCTTCAAATATTTGATAGAATTGGTGTTCATCAATTTCTTTGTTCTCATTTTTTATTTACTTTGACAACTGTTCTTGGTATTATATAGGTATTCATCACTTTGGAATCAACACCTGAGACCATGTTTAGAAGTGATTCTGTGAAATATGCTCTAATTGGATTGATGAGAGATCTGAGGGGGATAACAATGGCCACAAATAGGTTAGTGCAGATTACTGTGACAATGTACTTATGAGTTTTACTATACCTTTCATCAACTTTTTTTTCCTCACTGTACTGCAGTCGAAGAACTTATGGGCTTCTGTTTGATTGGATTTATCCGGCTCACATGCCAATTCTGTTAAGGGGAATCTCACATTGGGCTGACAAACCGGAGGTTAGTTCTCTTATTCAGTACTCTACAAGTATGTCTCACTTTCTAATTTTATTTTTGATAAAAGAAGAAATTGAGTGGTTAACACTGTCATTTATGTCACCAAGCTAGGTAATTAGTCATTTAGGACTGATAGAAAGGGTAAATGTCAAGTGCATGGACTTATTAATAATGCTTTTGATAGATAATAAACAAGAACTCGTGACACCTGGTTGAACTCTGCTGCAATCGTTTCAGCCAGATAGTTCTCTATCAGTTGAGTTCTTATGGTTGGGTGTGTTAGGTAAAGGATATGATAATTATAATGAGTGGCAGGCGGGGTTGGGTTCTCCTGCTTGGTTGTAGGATGTTCTTTGAGAAGATTTATTTTCATAACCTTAACATGACGAAACTGCAAGCTTGAGATTGACATTAATAAAACGGATGGCTTGATTGATGAATTCTCAATGCAACTATAATATGCCCCAATGCTTGATGATGGACTGTATCTGTGTGTGTATGTGCACTCTGGAACAATTATAAAGGTCTCCTAAGCAAAAAAATATGTGCTTGACAGTATCTTTAAAGTAATAATGTATAGCATATGGGGTTCTCCAAGTGACAGAAGCTTGTGTTTCCAGGAAAGGTAAACCAGGTTTGGGAAAGGAAGAACGACATAGTGATTTTATGATCTAGTAGTGCGAGCCATTTGCTTCTTTACCGAGGAGTCTCTATCGAAAATATTGATTGTTCACCTCATATAAAACCATCTAAACAATCAAGATTCTGAGGTTGCTAAAGAGGATATACATTCACTATTTAATATCTCTAATACACCCCTGCATGAAAGCAATATTCTTTTTGTAAAGGCTAGCAAGTGAAACACTTTTTCGTAAATGGGGGGTTGTATGATTCAGAGTTCAGACCACTTTTGTTTGCCTCTCTAACCCTATTGATTGAGAGGAGAGACGTACTTCATATCTCTAATAGAAAATTTTGTGATAGTTATTCCTGTTGATATTCTTTCTTCAGCCTTTTTCTTTTTTTTGATCAATGGAAAAGTCTACGGCACCTGACTTTAGTTGAATAAGAGACATCTATCGCCAATCCTTGTATCTCTATCGGATACAATTCAAAAAAATAAATAGTTGAATGGTACACTACTATGGCAATCCGTCCAGACCTATCCAATACCATTCAAAACAATACAATACTGTTTTTTTTTTGTGCCAATTGAACGACTTATCTGTTTTGGTGTATGTATAAAATCGTTACCTTGCAACTTCTTGTGTAGGTGACAACACCGTTGCTGAAATTCATGGCCGAATTTGTGTTAAACAAAGGTCAACGTTTGACTTTTGATACTTCATCTCCAAATGGCATACTTCTTTTCAGAGAAGTTAGCAAACTACTTGTTGCCTATGGGTCAAGGATTTTATCCCTACCAACTGCTACTGATATATATGGCTTCAAATACAAGGGAATATGGATTTGCTTAACTATTCTTTCACGGGGTAAGCATATATCACCTTGCTTTGAAATTTCCATTTGATAGTTTTCTTCTAGTTTTCGTGGTCTTTCGTAACAATTTATACCTTTCCCATATCGTTCTTCTGAGTTGACTTCTTATTTACTAAAAATACTTTTTAGATTCCATGGTGCTAAACTCATTCTGTATTCAGGTTTCGTGGCAGTTGCCTTTGGGTTCTTTGAATGAGTTTCAGTTATCATGAAAGTGTTCCCCTTCGTTTCATATTTCGAGATTGCTAGACTTATAATGATATTGCTTCATTACAATTTTCTATTTTGTTACAAGTCTAGAAGCTATTGTCATTTAGATTTCTTGTACACTTATCCGAATCGGGTCCTCTTTTAGTTTATCTGCAGAATCCAGCTGTAAATAATTGTTGAATATCAACAGTTGAGGCAAAATCATCCACAAGAAAATCTGTATTTGTCTCAATCAGATGCTTACCTTTTTGTTTTATACATTGTACAAATGTGAGATTCATGGATGCAAGTTATAACTTGGAACTTATTAGAATTCCTAATTTGTATTTATCCCGAAAATTTCAGTTAGTTTAATGTGATAAATATGTTGCATTAGATAATGCGTTATTCTCATCCGGATCATATCCTGGGGGAGGCAATATTCCTTTGAAAAGCCTGGGCAATGACATATAAATTTTATGTTTGTTTATCCTCCTAATGTTTTCTTCTCATTTTTCAAATTCTTTTTCACTAAATGACAGCACTTGCTGGAAACTACGTCAACTTTGGTGTGTTTGAACTTTATGGTGATAGAGCACTTGCTGATGCACTTGATATTGCCCTTAAGATGACTCTTTCAATTCCATTGGCCGACATTTTGGCTTACAGGAAGGTTTGTCATCATTCTTCACACTCTTCTTGAAATCCTTCTAGTCTTTGCTTATATTTTTGTAGTTCTCCAACTCCTTAGACTCCACAGTTAAGCCTGCATTAGTCTCCGACTTCTGTGAGGTCCTATTGTGGCTACTCAGATAATGCAGCCAGGTTATGAAATTATGAACTCGTACAAGTAGAAATATTTTCCATACCCAATTTTGAATCTAGTGCATATCAGTTTTTGTACAGTTAAAAACCCAGAAAACTGCTCCCAACTTCTTTAAAAAAGAAAATTCAGAGATGCATATCCCTGGGAGATGTAGGTTTCTTCTTATAGTATCCTTTTCTGAAAATTTCTTCGGTTATGTAAAAGGAGAGCGACCAAGTGAGAAACCAATGAGTGTTTTAATATTCTCCCAAGGCCCAAGGGTGGTAGGACTTGTACCCATATTTTATTGAACTTCATTTCTCTTAATCTGATTTCAACTTTTGATGTTCTAACAAATTTTCCTGTTCTTTGCAGTTAACAAAGGCATACTTTGCGTTAGTGGAGGTTCTGTTTAACAGCCATCTTGTTTTTGTATTGAGTTTTGGTACACACACCTTCATGCATATTGTTGGTTCACTTGAGTCGGGTCTCAAAGGTCTCGATGCTGGTATATCCTCACAGGTTTGTATGATTTATTATTACTGATAGTAGTTAAATATTTCTGTAGATTATATCTCTTAGCTCAATGAACATCTCTGTTATTTTAAAAGGTATGGGTTTTGAATGCTATTTCATTCTGCTGCATTAGTCCTGTGGACGTGTGCATATGCCGTTTGTGTGCATATGTCTGTAAGTTGACTAGTTAATGGTTATGGTTTCATAACGTATGGGTTTATATCTCCATTAGTACGAGGCCTTTGTGGAAAGACCAATAAGTAGAACCATGCCAGTTGAGTTCCGAACAGTGCACTATCAGTCTCAAGTTGCACCAGGAAGACTTTGAAGTAACTACATTAGCAACATTAGTCCCTGTTCCATGTAAATGACACTTTTAATCACGTCTTAGTTGATAGGGCTCAAACCATTGTGAAGATACGTGGTCTCCATGGACAGCTCACAGCATAGTTATGGTACAAAATCACACATTTACTTACCGTAGATCATCGTTCATTTCCACGTTTCAGTATGGATTTCTTTGTGAATAAGAACCCAAAAAGCCCTCTAACATACAAGAGCCTTGTAGCCCTGTAATTCCTCAGTGCCACAACTCTACGATGCTATGAAACTTCTCTTGTGCAGTTGTTTCCATTGCTAATAACATGTGGTTTTTCTGTCTTTGTTCTTTTTGGAATTCCACTTCTCATAACATGTGTATGTAGATATAAGTTTTAGATACTTTTAAATCATTTCTGCTATCAGCAATGCGAAGGTAGTGTTGTTGGGGTTTGTGTTTTTGTGTAACTGTTGTTGGTAAGATGAGGGCTAGTTACGCTAGAAAGGGTCTCCAGTTAATCATTATCATGAGCTGAATGTCATCCATTTAGACAGTGATGCGTTCGATCTAACTCATATTAATAGCTTCTCGCGACAAAAAAACTAGAGGGCATTGTTATCATATGTAACTCTAAAAATATTAATTTTAAATAAAAAAACAAACAGATAGAGTTCAGTATGTGGCCAATTTGCGGTTCAAAATAATAATTCGTTATTCGTTACTTCATGGGCCAACACAAATTGTATGCAGTCCAGATTGCGGGCTTGGGTCAAGTCATTTCTATTGATCTTCTATTTTCAGTTGATTGTCCAGAAATAGAAATCTTATTTGATCGATCTATGTGCTTAATTTTATTTCTTGAATTTCTTGAATTGATCGTGGTCATACTGACTTTTTCCATTATGACAGTGTGCGTCTGCAATTGATAATTTGGCTGCTTTCTATTTCAACAAGATCACCATGGGGGAGGCCCCCTCATCACCAGCTGCAGTTAATCTTGCCAGGCATATTGCAGAATGCCCAGCAGTGCTCCCTGAAGTAAGTACTGGAATTATTTTTTGTTCGAACGTTTTGTTTTGTATATCAGAATTGAAGTCGTTTTCTGTTCAGATATAATTGCTTTTTCTGCTTTTGTTATATTAACTTGACTCGAGAGCTCTATTTTCCTCAGATACTCAAAACCCTCTTTGAGATTGTTTTATTTGAGGACTGCAGCAACCAATGGAGTCTTAGCAGGCCAATGTTGAGCTTGATACTTATAAATGAGCAGGTGGTTATTTCTAGCCATTATTTTATTTGCTTGTTATCCTAGTTTGTGGGTTCGTTTCTATATAATTTGCCTCGATACTTCTATACTTTGATGACTGGTTTTTCGTTGGAAATTTTGATAGCCGTTTACCATTTTATTTAATGATGCTTTCCTATTTTACTTTTTTTTGTTCTTACATTTATTACTTATCAGATTCTTGTGATTTTGACATGTTCTGTCACCTTAAATTTTACTTTTTTAGTATGTATTTTCACATTTTTTTATGGAAGAACTTGAAATAATTAGTCAACGGCAGGTCCGATCAAATATTCATGTTAACTAAGGATTATCTATTTACGTGAACTCCCACATGGCCACATTTAAAGCTTTTGTGTGCTGTTGTATTTTAATATTTTAAGTTCCGTATCATATTCTTCCGATATTAGCAAAACGGCATCTAATTGATGGACTATAACATGCATGCAGATGTTTACGGACTTGAAAGCTCATATTTTGGCTACACAGGTAAACCCTTAAACTATTTTGTAGCATTTTGTATTGAGTTCCTAATTTCTCTTGCTAGCTAAAGTTTCTTTAAGGTATAGCTTATCACCTTTTACGTATCTTAAATAAATTTAATTGCTTTTTTGAACGATTAGTTCCAGCGAGTGTTGAACACCGACATTAAGGTGAAGATGATCTATGTTTTTATTTTTATGGAACCAGTGAAAGCTATTTCACCATTCTTAAACTGAAAAAGATGGTATCACCCCCATGCATGTATAAATGAAATCTGGAAAGATTGAATTTTAGAAACTATAAAATATAAATTAATGTTACTTACAGATTCTTTTCATCTTGCAGCCTCTCGATCAGCATCAGCGCCTTGCTTCCTGTTTCGACAAATTGATGGCTGATATTAATCGAAGCACGGATCCAAAGAACAGAGACAAGTTTACCCAAAATCTGACAATATTTAGGCACGACTTCCGCGTCAAATAAAACCTCCGTCATAGTATTTTGTTGGTTTTATTAGTGAAAGAAAGGAGGGAAGTCACATGAAACTACATTAGAATCGGGTTTGCTATGTGCATTTCATTTTCGATATAGGGTCAGAAGTTATCCGTGACAATCGACCAAATTGCGTTTTCATAGGCTTACGGTTATTAGGTGGTTTCATTGGCTCGTTTAATGCTCTGCATGTACAGAGAGTTTTTACATTCGTCAGCTCCCCTAAGTTTCGTAGGAGAGTTAGCATGAAAGGTAACTTGCAACAAAATGCATCTCATTCTTTAATTTTTGGCTAACAGGGTGTAGAAACTATATAGGTTATATATAGATTTTGCAGCTTGAACAATTCTTGGCCTTTTAATATTAATTATTACATGGAGAAAAGTTTGTGTATTCCTGATAAGTCAATGTTTATGCAGTTATATGTAAATGTAGAAGGATCTGTTTGGGAAGTATCTTTGGCTTTAACTTGTTATCTCGTGTGATGTTTGCCCACGGGCAACTTATGTTTGACTCGGTTTTTAGTTTCTTTTCGGAACATATTTTTCTTAGTTTATAATTGAATGATATTTTTAGACTCTAGGGGTGGTATAGAAAGGCCATCTTTAGTTATGGATCGGGGTGGGGTGGGTACGGGCAGGTTTTATACGGGGGCGGGGGCGGGGGCGGGTTTAATAAAAAATAAAACCCGCAACGGGTACGGAGAGAGTATGGGTGCAAAATTTTGCTAGTGGGGCGGGTGTGGGTTTTCCAGTACCCGCCCCATCGTCATCCCTAGTTTGGAGAAACTTATTTCACTAATCACCCCGCTATCAGAATCAGAGACTTCGTGGATTATAAACCATCAGAATAGACAGAAACATCCATGATTAATCAAATGCTTGTATCCCACAATACAAAAACTTCATACTAGATTTTGTATTGTGCGATCATTGGCCCTTGGAACTATCTTCGACTGAGGGACAAGTCACGACACATCTAGTTCTTTAGTGAATCCCTGGTGATGCTTGAGTGTTAAGGATTAATGTTGTGCAATTATATCATAGAAACTTCCATACTCGATAATTATGAACCACTTAGAGATTTTTAGGGTGAGGAGTTCAGTGAACTCATCTATGTGAGTACCTACTCAAGTATACCAATGTCACATCATCGAAGACTGATAAGATGCATTATACATACACTAGGTGCAAGTTTCTAAAGAGAAATGTTTGTATCCTCATTATTGATGTAACTCATCTATTCTACTTGACCAATTCAAAATAATAGAGTAACTCGTTAGATCTATGCATTTGCATGTGATAACAAAAATATATATTGCCAAAAGATGAATTTCTTTAATACAAATTAAATAGTCATTACAAGAATACGGAAATACCACAACCACAAGTTGACTCGTTTGTCACTTACTCTAAAATTAGCACCCACCCAACTTCTTCGTCATTCATACCTAACTTTGTGCTCTTCAACTCAGACGGACACTGACATTGCTTTGAGTATGTTTGCATTTTTTCATTTTCTTTGTCATCTTGACTTAGGTCTCCTATGCAACCGACTAGCAAACGCTTTTGCTCCTACTTCTCTTGCTTGTAATGAAATTATGAAAGAACTGTTATTCTTTTGGAGTTGGCGGATTTCGCCTAATAAATGAATTTGCGTTTCCTCCTAAAAAGAAAAAAAAAGAAAAAAAAATGAAAGGATAGACATAATCAACATTTAGGGCAACTCCAACAGTGATATGCAAGTCTATTATTTACATTTTTTACACAATTTGAACTCTAAAATAGAGCTCCAACAACGAAATGCAAAAATGCAAAATTTGTAAAATTCTAAATTTGGTTTCTTAAAATTGAGAAACTAAAAGTAAAATTTAACTAGTGCGTAAAAATAAAAAAAAGGGAAATTTGCTAGACACCTTATTTTGGACTTATATAGGTAGGGATCCTAATTGCTAGATGAATATAGGCATAGGTCATTTGACTAAAAAAATAATATAAATAAAATAAAATAATTAGTGTATAGACATAATCACCCTCAATTAATAAAAAAACAAATTTTATATATTTTCTCTCTCCAATCTCACGTTTCTCTCACCTTATATTTAATCTCTCATCTCTTTCTCTCCCTCTGTGTCTCACGCCTTTCTTCCTCTCTCGAGCTTCTCTGTTTTTTTTTTCTTTACTTTTTTGATAAAAAAATATTATAGAGAAGGAAAAAAATAGGGATTTTTTAGATTATGAGATGATTTCTTGGCGGAAGAATTAAAGAGGACAACAAAAATTTCAGCAATCCAAAATCATAGCCAAAATCACATTGTGTCTCCCGTATGTAGAACCTTCCCATCATTTTTGTTGTTAGCAATTTCCGTTTGCAGATTGGTTTAACTTCGTTTGATGTTTGAAGAATTGCGTTTGATGTTGAGATTCGATTCCTCTGGTTTACAATTTGCAAGGTATGTCTTAAGTTACATTTTACAAACATTTTGTTTAATGTTTTTGTTGTTTGCAAATTGTTCCATAAAACAATTTTTTGGGTTGATGTTTTTAATGATGCTGATTTTTTTTTTAAATTTTTTTTAGTTTGCTGTTTGCAATTTGGCCAAGTCATAGGTAGTTTATTGCTTGCAATTCAATAATGCAAGTTTTGCTGAATGATTTTCTTCAGTTTGATGTTTGCATTTGACGAAGTCCTAGGTAATTTTTTGTTTGTAATTCAGTAATACAAATTTATGGATTTTGTTTTTTCAGTTTGCTGTTTGCATTTGGCAAAATTATAGGTATTTTGTTGTTTGCAATTCAGTAATATAAAATCTAATTTTCAGTTTGCTATTTGCAGTTCGCGGAGTCATAGGCGTCGCAGTTCTCGGATCATATGCGGTGGTGAGGCTGCGGAGGCGTTTTTAGAGTATAAGTTTGTAAAATAAATTGTATATTTTTGTTATTAATTAATTTATTTCTTTTAGTTAATATTTGGAAGAGAGATGTTTGGGAATTTGTGTTGATAGAGAGATTTTTGGGGATTTGATTTGATTTAATTAAGGGTATTTTTGCCATAATAAATATTATTAATTTAGTAAAAACATTAAATTTTGATTTGGGTTTACACACATCTTATATATAAAAGAAAGAAACGCTAGGGCAACCCTAAGAAACCCTAATGTCATATTTGTAATTTTTTTTCAATTATTATCAAATTTTTATCTCCTTAATATTATTTTAAATATTATTTTCGAATTTTATCATATTTGTATCCCCTAAATATTATTTTTTATTTTTATCAGATTTTTGTCTCCTAAATATTATTTTTTATTTTTATCAAATTTTTATCTCCTAAATATTATTATAAATAATATTTTTATAATTTTATCAATTTTATATCTCCTAACTATAATTTTAAATATAATTTTCAACTTTTAGCAGATTTTTATCTCCTAAATATTATTTTCGAATTTTATCAAAGTTATATCTCCTAAATAATATTTTAAATATTTTTTTCGAGTTTTATCATGTTTTTATTAGTTTTTTATCTCCTAAATATTAATTTTGTTTTTTATCAGATTATTGTCTCCTATATATTATTTTTTATTTTTATTAAATTTTTATCTGTTATCAGATTATTGTCTCCTATATAATTTTGATTTTAATCATATTTTTTATCTGCTAAATATTATTTTAAATAATAATTTCGATGTTAATCATATTTTATCTCCTAAATATTATTCTAATTATTATTTTCGTATTTTATCAACTTTTATCTCATTAACATTATTTGAAATATTTTTTTCGATTTTTATCTCCTAACTATTATTAAATTTTATTTTCGATTTTTATCAGATTTTTATCTCCTAAATATTATTTTTTGATTTTTTATCAAATTTTTATCTCCTAAATATTATTTTAAATATTATTATCGATTTTCATCATTTTTTTATCTCCTAGATATCTTACATATAAAGAAAGAAACGCTAGGGCAACCCTAAGAAACCCTAATGTCATATTTGTAATTTTTTTTCAATTTTTATCAAATTTTTATCTCCTTAATATTTTTTTAAATATTATTTTCGAATTTTATCATATTTGTATCCCCTAAATATTATTTTTTATTTTTATCAGATTTTTGTCTCCTAAATATTATTTTTTATTTTTATCAAATTTTTATCTCCTAAATATTATTATAAATAATATTTTTTTAATTTTATCAATTTTATATCTCCTAACTATAATTTTAAATATAATTTTCAACTTTTAGCAGATTTTTTTCTCCTAAATATTATTTTCGAATTTTATCAAAGTTATATCTCCTAAATAATATTTTAAATATTTCTTTCGAGTTTTATCATGTTTTTATTAGTTTTTTTATCTCCTAAATATTAATTTTGTTTTTTTATCAGATTATTGTCTCCAAAACATTATTTTCGATTTTTATCAAATTTAATCTCCTAAATATTATTTTAAATAATAATTTTGATTTTAATCATATTTTATCTCCTAAATATTATTCTAATTACTATTTTCGTATTTTATTAACTTTTATCTCATTAACATTATTTGAAATATTATTTTCGATTTTTATCAAATTTTTATCTTCTAACTATTATTTTAAATTTTATTTTCGATTTTTATCATATTTTTATCTTTTAAATATTATTTTTTTATTTTTTTTATCAAATTTTTATCTCCTAAATATTATTTTAAATATTATTATCGATTTTCATCAAATTCTCCTAGATATTATTTATAATAATCTGATTTTCGATTTTTACAGAAAAGGGTAAATAAATCTGATTTTCATCCCTAGCGAATTTTGTGACATCGTTTTACATAATGTCTGCAACATTTGAATTTTATTTCTTCCCTACCTAAGGCTTCTTCTTTTGGTAACCCGACTTTAGATTTTGTTTTTTTATCTTCTTCATCCTATTGACTGTGTGGCAATTAGTTTACATCTTTTTCCATCATGGCTTATCGGTAATTTCATTTTGTTAAATTATGTGTTTCATTAATTTATACCAAAGTTTTCAAAATTTATGTATAACAATTATTTCATTTTATATGTTATTGGACATGTTATTGAAATGGATGATTTGAGAGAATTAACCAAAAATGAGCGGAGCCACAAGCTATTGGAAGTCGACCTTCAAGACTTACTGTTTGTATGCGATATTTAATTTATTGTTATATTTATTTTTGTTTCTTAATTTTCCAATTGTTAATTCCAGTGGCAAAACAGCCTGAAAATGAGGCAGTGGAGAAGGGCTTAGTTCCGATGCAAGATGTATAGATGGCCTTTTATGTTGTCGATAGTTTAGTTTTGATTATGTTAACTAAGTTATTAAATCTAATTACTTTTAAGCTCAACATGAAAGACATAGTTGATGATTTTTTTCCTGGTTCAAATTTTCAATCTACTGGTATTAGCTGATTCAATTCATTTGGAAAATTATTCAATAGTAAAGTTATTTCCTTTTTTTTGTGTGTAGTATACTTAATAATGTTCCAGTATAATAGAATTTTGATCATACGATACATCAAACGTTTGTTTATATTCTTACAACATCAAAACAATGCAATTTGTTGTCCCGTGCATCGCACGGGTACAATTACTAGTAAATTATAATATAGAAGGACCTACATCAAATTATCCCAAATAAAAAATCATAAAATAATCACAACTCATCCCTTTAAATCTCTAAATCTACTAAATATTCAACTGCAAAACTACCGAATTAATTCAATTATAAATAAATGAAGAAAATTTAATCCCGAAGGAGTTTATACAATTTGGTATCTATTTAACTACATTTTGTTTTAAGCCAAAATGTTTTTATTCCAAATAAATTCTTATAAAATAATTTAACTACATATATGTATCTATTTGAGGTTAAAATTAAAATATTTGTATTTTAATGTGCAAATGGACTAATTCAAAATTAAAATATGACAATAATAGAATATAATTATTGTGTAAATTATAAATAATGTTGTTGGAGTATATATTAGAAAATGGTGTTGCATAACGCTATTTATGTGTTAAATTATATATATAGACAACCAATTTTAAAGCAACTGTTGGAGACGCCTTACAATGAAGATATTCACACCATACTATTCATTACAAAAAAAAAAAAAAAAAAAAATAATAATAATAATAAAAAAAAAAAGGGAAACACAAGAAATTTAAAGAAATCAAGTGGAAAAAAAATGGAATTTCAGAATTTAAAAAACATGATCTCAATTGTAATGTTTCAAAATAAAATCGGCGGAATTCAGATATTCAATTTTTAGTTTCATCTATTAACATTAACCAGTGCGTAAAAAAAAAAAAAAAAAGAAATTCAGATTTTTGAGGAATTTGAAAATTTGGTCCCCAAAATTCACACAGAAAATGGAATTTTGAAGATAACTAGTTCCCGTAGAAGAATCAACAATGAGCATTTCTCTCTCCTCCATTACTGCTACTTCTCTCTTCGTCGACATTGGCCCCCCCGCACCTCATCTGCCCATACCCTCAGCTCCATTCTTCCGCCGCCCCGCCGCCGCCAAAACCCGTCTTCTCCGGCTATCCTTCGCTAATTCCAGCAACACTCATGTTAGTGTTTCTTCCTCCCCTTTTTTTCTGTGTGTGTGTGTGCGCGCGCGCTATTATTCTCTCCTCTCTAGGGTTGTGGATTTTGTTGGCAAATTGATGATGCCCTCAAAGTTTTATTATGACACTGCGATAATATTCAGCATCAATTTTGTTTTGAAATGTACGCCTTGGTGTATTTTCATTTTTTTTGTTACTGAACATATGGAAAAATAGAATTTAGAGAGAGAAAGATGCTCCCTTCTTCCAAACAATATTCAAACGCTGTAGATTCTTGATCAATGATCGCATGTTAATTTACTAGTTCTGATTAAACACAACTAGTGGAATTTATGGAATTAGTCCAATTGGTTGATGTCTTACGGTTGACAACGAAGAACTGGTTTTTGTCAACCAACCATGTTTACGTCTTTCTCGATCTCATTAAATCCATTTCGTGCGGTACATTACATTGTCCTATCATATGTCCTTATCACAGCCTCTTCGGTATTGTGCCAAACAGCGGTGTTTGTGATTGTTTGCCGAGATTCCGCTTGTTAGACGTGACTAGTGCACCATAGGTGGCACAAATTATTCGTCGCAATTTTGTCGTAAATTATCTGATTTCATCTGTGTTAAAAATACTTTCTGTCACCAATTTGTGGAAAAACATTGCTAATTTTAGTTGGATGCATGAATTCGCATTGCGGTAGAACCAATAGTATGTCCTTCTAACATGTGTCTTTCGTGAATTATAGAGGCCAGAGTCATCAGATTTCGACAGCAGTTCGGAGGAGAAACAGGGTATCTATTGACGATTAAATAGCAGTTACGTTTTCTATAACCAGTTTATTACAGAATTTTCTTGAAACTTTCGAATCTGTTTGTGTTAGGTTCAAATGGCAAGGACAAATTCTTTCAAGCAAACTCATTGAAGGAGTACGTTCTACTTACCTTGCAAAGTATTGCCGTAGACTATGCCACTGTACCTGCTTTTCAACTATGCCACTGTACCTGCTTTTTATGGGCTAAGTTGATTTTACTGCATGTGCATGATTTCTGTATCTATATGATATGAAGTGTATGGAAACTATGCTTTCTGCTGATCGATAATATTTCTTTAATTGCTAAACCTCGAAAACGAGATTAACATGTTGACACTAACTCTTGTGTTTGTGTGTGATAAAATTTATTTTTCGGAAGAGAACGATCAACTTTTTCTTTCTAATGCTAATTATGAAATATCGCATTCTTGTTTGCTGAACTTTTCAGGATATTGACCAAACTGAAGAGATATGGTGTCTCGGGAATTTTGTCCTACGGCCTACTAAATACTGCTTACTATCTTACGACATTTCTTGTTGTTTGGTGAGTGATTTACTTAACTTTATTTACTAGAAAAAAATAAAAATAAAAAATTGACAAAATAAACCATAGAACCGTTTGATGTTACAATTATACTTACATTATCTGAACTTTCTTGATAGGTTCTATGTCGCTCCTTCACCTGGGAGAATGGGTTATTTGGCAGCTGTTGAAAGGTTGAATAATTAACTAATTTGCATTTTAAGGGCTCAATTGTAATTAATGAGAAGTTAATCTTATTTGCAGGTTTCTTAAAGTCATGGCCATGGTGTGGGCAGGGAGCCAAGTAACTAAGATCATACGAGCTGGAGGGTGAGCCGCCCAACCATATTTTTAACATCTTAAATAGGGGTTAGTTTCGGTTTATCACAAATTTTATTGTTGATTCCAGTTTAATGTATATATATAGATAAGTTGTAAAATTAATATCTTAATAGATATACAGATTCATTAAAAAAATTATAAATATATGTTATATATTCGTAAATATGAATAAATTTATAGAGGCTTACAATTTTCTGTATGCTGAGATTTTTTTTTTCTTCATATGTCATTAATTTAGCAAATAATGCTCTCCTTTTCTAGTTTACTGATTTGGAAACACTGCCTATATAAAATAAAATAAAATAAAATTGAAATACGAGAGTCGGGCTTATTTGTGGCAGGGCTCTTGCTCTTGCACCATTTGTGGATAGAGGATTATCATGGTTCACTCTCAAGTTTGGGTTTAAGTCCCAAGGAAAGGTACGTAAATCGATCACGAATTTTTTCTTATCGTGCGTTGTGATTCCGTACTAAGTATCATGTTTATAATGTTTACAGGCATTTGCGACGATAGCTGGGCTCTGTTTTGGGTTGGCATTCTTGATGTTTGTTGTGGTGACTTTACTTTCGGCATGAATTATTTTCACCCCCTTTCTTTGCTAGGTCAATTCAATCATAATCCTACACGATATAAATAATGCTGGAAAGAGTGGATTTTTGCACGGTGTTTATCTTGAAAAGGCTGACTGTGATACTCGGTAGGAAACGAGCGAGATGTCGTGGATTGATAGAAAATTTTGGCTTCACTTTTTGGTTAGGTTTGTAGGCTACATAAATCGTGACTGAACGAGTAAATGATTTTTTTATTTTTATTTTTTATTAATTTGCTTAAAACCTTGTAAATTCGGATTATTACAGGTTGATGATACAAACATGGTTATGTAACATAATGAACAAGTTGGGAAGTGAAAACTGAAGTCTCTGCATAAAAAGAATAGTCTCTTAATAGAGTTTTGAGGAATATACCTTCATAATCTTCTACCCTTTAATTGTTATATAATTAACTTGTCAGTGTGTGGAAGTGAGTCATTTTTTATTTTTTGGTTATTTAAGAATTATGAAGTCAACAGTAATTTTTAAGAAGATTAAGATGATGCCTTTTCTAAGTGATTTATATTAAATATATAATTTTTGGGATTCGTTTGTTTAAAATTGAAATAAATAAAATTACGAAAAAATTCCAAAAGAAAATAAAAAAAAAAATTAATGTTTTAGTGTATGTTTAACTCAGATCAATCTCACAAGACTAGTAAAAAACCTTTTGATGTGTCTCACTTTTGCTTTCTGGGCTCTCTGTTTTGTCCGTTTTAATAGCACTAATAGTTTTGGCGCGTTTTTTGACTTGGGCGTTTGCTTTATTTTCCACATGATACCTTATTGATTGAGGGTGTTTAATTGCAGGCGGCTTTTAGTTATTGCAGGTGAAAATATTTATAATTTTGTCTCGAAAAATTTCACTCTCTCATCTCTCTTTACTCTACTTACGTCCCTTCAAACAAACCACCGAAATCATCACGAATTAGCCGATCAAAGGTAAATTTTGCACCAAATTTATCCTCTCGTCTTGTAGATTAGGAAACGAATTTTTTTTAGCAATGTACAAACAAACAGAGAGTTCAACACGGATCTATCCGAACTCGGTGGTTCGAGTTCGGATAGATCCCTGTTGAACTCGCGACAAAAAAACCAAAAAAAAAAAAGAGTTTTGACGGAATTTATATCTTGGCAGATGATTCCTGATAATCCATGTTGATAATCTTTCGTTTTGGGCCAACTTTATCGGAAGAAATCCGTCGATTACTTGTCAAAATCGAAAAGTTGGAGTTGAGAGAGGTTGAAATTTTGATTTCAAGGGAATAAAATCGGAGAGAGTCCGTTTTTGGGGCAAAAATATGATAATCTGATTTGTATGGGGCAAAAAACTGAATATTTTTGCATGCAACAATCGGATTGGCGCCTTCATTAAATGTTTCAGTTATTGATTCCTTTTATTTACTATCCAGGCCACTTTTGAGTCGTTGACACTTTCTATGGCTCTTTGCTTTAAAAAAAGAGAAAGAAAGAAAAAACAGTAAAGAAAAACATAATGTTAAAATTCAAAATTACTATGTTATAAAATTTGATATAATCAAATTAAGAATAAAGTTTAAAAAAATACAAAATAAAGATATCCATAATATTTATAAATTAAATATACTTTATTAATTGCTAAACCACCCAGGTGTTTTTGTCATTTTAAATTAAGTCATTGTCTAAGATCACAAAGGATGCAGTGACGTAATCTAAAATTTTACACAGGCTATGAGCCTATGATCATATTTTTTTTCGGGATAAGCGTCAATTAGGTACTTCTTCCGTTCCAAAATAATTGACGTTTTAGGTTGTTGCGCACATATTAAGAAAATTAATAAATATATATAGATTTTAGGAAAAGACATATAATATGACGAAAATACCCATGTAATTAATTATATCTGAACTAATTAAGAGTAATAACTAATAAGGGCATACTTGATAAAACAGTAATAAATGCATCATTGAAATTATAAAGTGACAGATAATATGGAACAAAAAAACACCCCAAAATGACAGTTAATTTGGAGGGGCTCTTTGATATAACCCCTCAATACTTATTTTAATAGGGAAAGACCCAAACTATTTTGCACTATTTGATAAAAACCCACTTCAAATTTCAGCCACCCATTTTTCCATTTATGTCCCTTCACCTTACACACTATCCCCATGATCCATCAGCCGTGTCTTTCTTTTTTTTTTTCTTTTTTTTTTAAATTTTTTTTATTAATTTATTATTATTTATTAAATTCTTTTTAATTTTCTTTTTAATTTTTAAAATTTTTTTTTTTAATTTTTTTTGAGCACATAACAAAACCAACACTATAAAAATAGTAAAAGTAAAAAAGAAAAAAATATACCTTCATCAACAATTTCCGTTGATTCTCCTCCGACGACGAGTGTTTCTTCTTCTTTCTCAACAGCTTGTTCCTCATCTTCTTCCTCCACAGGTCGACGGGGTGGAACATGCTGTTGAGAAAGAAGTGTGTTTCTTCTCCACACGCTGATGACGAGTGATTCCTCTTATTTCTTTCTCCATCTTCCAATGGCGGCGACGGCAGCGACGAGGAGAAGATTATATTGCAGGAGAAAAAAAAGAAAAAAAGAGAAGAAAACAGAGAAGAGAGAAAACAGAGAAGAAGAGAAGAGAGAAACGCGGAGAAGAAGAGAAACGGCGGAAAGAATATTAACTAAGAGGTTTTCTCTAATTATTTTTAAAATGGATGTTTCCTTAACTATATTTTCTAGGTAGGAGGTTTTCTCTAATTTTCCTTAATTTAGAACGGAGGAGTATTTTTATATGGGTATCGTATGCAATAACCCACGCGCTACGCATTTACATCGTACACTAGAATCCAATCTAATGTAAAGTCTATAATAAACTTAAGGGGGCAACTATTTTGAATCCCAACTTTTGCTTACTTGAATACTACCAAGTTTAAAACCAAAATTGAGTACATATTTATCAGTTTTTTCTTACTTTAATACCAAAATAAAAAGAAAAGTACAAAAACACCCTTCATACAAAATATCAATTATATCAATTTTTTTTAGAAATTACCTATTCAAAAACCAAATAAAAAAAAAAGAAAAAAACCCTTTGTTGTAAAAAAAAAAAAAAACCTCCACCATTTCTTCTCCTCTCCAACCCTCACCGCCGCCGCCGCCGCCGCCGAACGCCCCCGAACCCCCCCGAACGCCCCCGTAACTGCCGCGCCAACCCAATTAAACCCTTTTTTTTTCTTTTTTTTAAATCCTCCAAAACATCTCCAAACTCAAAAAATCAAAACCTCCCAAAACTTATAAAAGGGGGTTTTAAGCCAATAATATGGTGGTATATGGGGAAAGGGAAGCCATTAAGGTAAGTATCGATGTTTTTTTTGAGCTTGGAAGTCGATTTTGAAGTTTTTTTTTTTGAAACCCGTCGGCAATTTTCGACACATACAGGTGGATTTTTTGGTCAATTTTCGACCCCAACGTGTCGAAAAAAAAAAAAAAAAAAAAAAAAAAAAAAAAAAAATTCAAATTTCGACACTTACCTGTCGAAAATTCTCCAAATTTCGACAGGTATGTGTCGAAAAATACTGTTGG